AAACTATAATTGTAAAAATATAGATATCATTTGTTTGGATAAAATCACTATTTTTAATTTTTTTTAATTTTAAAAAATTTTTTCTAGTAAGAAAATCTGAAAAAAAAATCACAGACATATATTCCATATGCTAAAAATTCTCAATTTTTTTCATAATTTTATATTATGAAAAATGGAATATAGGAAATAAAGCATAAATTACAAATTAAATATATTTTAAAAATATTTTATTCTAAGTAATTCCTCTAATAATAAAGATTCTAAGTTGAAATTTGAGATTTCAAATTTTTAAGATTTATTTCTATTAATTAATATTAAATTGTATTATTTTAATTTGATTTTCAATTATTATTTATTTGTTTAGTTATTTTTTTCCCATTTTATAGCATTTATTATCCATTTTCTTTTAATTTATCATTTTAATAAATATTTTAAATAATGTTTTTCTTTCTTTATGCAATATATTTTAAAAATAATAATAATAAATTGAAAAGAATAATAATAGATTGTAATGTGTTTTCAATTGTTTCAAAATAGTACTAAAAAAAGAAAAAGAGAGAGAAAGGAAGAGAGAGCTTTAAGAGTTTTATTTTTACTTTAATTTTTTCAATGATTTAATATTTCCATTTATAATATTTGATACTGTTATACATTTATGTATTTTTCTCTTGTCTAAGTTAATTTAAGTTCAATTCAATCTAATATTTTTTTCTTTGATTTCAATAAAGTTGTAGAAGAGGAGATTTTAAATAATTTTTTTCTATATATATAACCGGTTAGTTTAATTTTCAAGATAGATTGCAGAAAGATTGCTACTATTATATAAGATTTCGTTTATCATATACATCTATGATAATATGTATATATATGATATATAACAACATATAATTATTATTTACTAAATAGTTTATATAAATACATCGTAGCAATAGATATTATAATTAATATATATAATAATTGAATTGATCAAAAAGTTTTTTCATAGATTTTGAAGTTAAAATTTTTCAAATCTAATCAATAACAAGTTTTCGGATTAACGGAATATGAAAATAAAATATAAGATTTTTGAATGACCGAAATTATAATAGATATTAAGATATAATAGATATTAAGAGTGAGATTAATGCATACTTACAATATATAACTTATATATATATATATATATATATAGGCGAAATTCAATATAGTAATAATAATAATAATTTTTTATAAATATCTCAAAATCTAAAGCTGAGCGATATGATAATTATATGTATAGGAAATTTAGAGATATATAGAAAATTATGAATATAGAAAATCTTGTTTTCTATAATATATTTAAATATTATCAAAAAAATATTCCATAAATATTTCATATGCAAATGTATTTTAATATCAGCTATATTACTACAATGATCCAATAGGAAATTTTTTTTCAATAAATTTGAAAAAAAAATAACTTTAAAAAAAATAACAAATTCTTTCATATCATTCAAATTACAATTACAATTTCAAACAAAATGTATTTTTACACAATTGAAAAAAAGATGGTTTTATTTATTATTAAATAAACCACTTTGATATATAAAATTAGAATTAGAAATTAAAATATTTTTATAAAAATTATTCATAGAATAAATATAAAATAACTATAGAACATACAATACGATTATTAGAAGAAACAAATATGAAGAATATACTCACCATCTATACGTAATATGAAGTATGATCACAGTATATAAAATTGTTTGCAAAAAAGAAACATTTTGTTTTTATTAAATATATTTTGTAAATGAAAAGACGTAAACATAGATAAATATTTAAGTATCGATTTGGCTAAATTTCAGTTTTAAGAAAAGATTAAAAGATAAATCTCAAAAAATTCGAATCAATTGATACGAAATTTAGGAGAGAGATAAGAAAGAGAGGAGTTTAAATTAGTTAATAAAATTTTAATTTCGAAAAATTATTCATTCGAATATTTTTTGAAATATTAATACAAAACTTTTAATTACTATATATGATTACTATATTGAATACTGTATATAGATGTAACTAATACAATGAATGCTGCTTATTCAAATATTATTAATACAATCATCTTTGAATATCATCATCAGTTATCGATATAAATTGATAACAATATCATAACTGATGACATTTTGTATATTTGATATATATTTGATGTATTGGCCTCAATATCTTTACAAAATGTTCCATACAAAATTTCGACGCTAAAACCTGATATTATTGACTTTCCGGTTTAATCTAGCCCAAAATTATTCGAATGACGATATTTGGTAACTTAAGTATATTTAATTCTTCGATAACGAATAATTAGATTTTTTGGACTATCAAAATTGTAGCATGATAATAATAGAATAAAAATTATTATGAAATAGAAATAGAAAGTCAGTATAACTTTGATCGTCATCAAATGTGTTTTTGAATTATATTAATTAAAATATATGAAATATTTGAAAACAATAACGAAGAATTATAGATTATAGATATCATTTTTTTAACTGCTACAGTTTACAATGTTTGCCGCTAAAATTTTGTATCTTATACAGAATCTTATACATAGATATAAAAGCCAATATAATATTATTTGATAATTCTTACAATGAAAATAGTTATATTAATAACAATAATCTTAAAAATTATTATATTAATCACATTTACATATGAAGTATTCAATATGATGCTGGAAATTTTTTATTAATATCTCGAAAAATAATTAATGAAATTTTATATTTGGGATCAAATTTTATGTCAATTAATCATCGAAATTTTTCAAAATATTAGATTATTTCATATATTAATAATATATTATTTAACAATCGGAAAAAAAGAAATAAAAAAAAAATACCTGATCTTTTAGCCATTTAGAATGTGGTCTACTTCTCGAAATTTGCAATTTCAATTCTACATCCTCTATGATCTTCTTTTCATATGTATCAACCAATAGCATTCTACCAGGTTTCAAGCGACTCTATAAAATGAAATATAAATAATTATTGTTAAATCATATATGTGATTTATTATAACATATTTCTAAAATTAAAATAGATTTAAATTTATTATTATAAATTATATAATAATAGATTTAAATAAATTTGTATAAATTTATTTTTTGAGTTAATTTTATATTCTATGATATTATTAAATTATATGTATATTAAAAAAATATTAAAAAAAATTAATAAAATATAACTTAATTTTTTTTTCATAAATTCAAGAATAATATACATAATAAAAAATGGCCATTATATTAGATTTAATAGTAAATCATTCATTTATAAAATTACTCCTTAAAGAATAATAGTAATATAATAAATTTTAAATATAAATATTTGATTAACCATTTCAATATTTTAAATTAATAATATTTTACTGCGAAAACAAAATAATTAAATAAAATTAATCTATGTTACATAAATAGAATATCATATATTACAAAATACAGACAGATGCGCATATATTCTATAATTTCTTGTGATCAGTTTTAAATTTATAACATAAAATTTAAAAAAAAATGTAAAAGGAAATGTATAAATTAAAAAGAATAGAGAGCAAAGCGTACAAATAAGAACTCACCCAAAATAAAGAATTAGAAAAAGATATTAATTTGCTTCATAAGAAAAAATTACCGTTTATAAATATGCTTTAAGACACGAATTCGTTCCGAGCACTGTATTTAACTTGCTAATTGTTCAGAAAAAGCTTTGCTCCTTGTGTGCATGCAGTATTCCTTCTAGAACTGAAATTCTGTATATCGAAAATAATATAGAGAAAAAACATGTGAATGGCTGATTATATATGAACTACTGTTTCTTCAAGGATAAGATTTGATCGATATCATATATATTTTCTCATTTACCTTCAGAACTATGTTGTTGGATGGAGTATCGTAAACACCCACTTCAGAAGCCATTACCATCATATTATCCTTAGTGACATAGAAACGCGATGGACGCAGGCCATTTCTGTCAAATAAAAATTTTATATTATTATTTCATTTTTTCATATTAGTATCAATTAAAACTGTCTTCTTAATACATTTTATTTATTTTTTTGACTTTTTTATACATATAATTAACTTTCGATCGGGGAATGCTTCGGGATGCAATAGACTTAATATTGTAAACAATTTTTTTTCTATTTATTTTATTTCTTTTTTATAAATATAAGAATTTTAAAAAGATAATTCTAATATAATATATATTAATATATATTAATATCACGAATTATCTTTTTAATATATATTAATATTAAAAAGATAATTCATTTCAAAATATTATTTCAGTGAAAAGTATTAGTTTTCAATATATCGTACTTGTTATACATTTAGAATTATGAATGTACTATTACATAAAAATAAAAAAATATGTATTAGAGTAGTCATCGCATTTCCGATATTTTATATGAGATATTCTGTAAATATCATTATCATTATCATATCATTGACTAATCTATTCGACTAATATGACTACTGTGAAAGCAACTGTATTAATTATGTCTAGATACAGAGATCTAGAAACAGAATTTTTTATTAATATTTTAAAAACTAATAAAAAATAATAAAAATTCAAAATTAAAATTTTAGATTTAAAATCTATATTCTCTTTTTTTTCTCTCCTCTAAATTTTATTTAATATTATTATATGCTTTTCGAAAAAATATGTAAATTATTTTTTTAATATCTTTGAAAATTGTAAACAAATTGTAAAAAAATTTATTTCTTAATTTTTGATTTTTCACATCATGTTTTTAAAAAATAAAAAAAATGGATTATTATATTTTGCGAAATTTTTCTATGAAATAGTTAAATAAAATTTTAATAAATAATTAAATCTTATTTTGTTATTTTAATTTACAAAATAATAAATTGGAAAGCCAATTGCCTTAGATAAAAAAATAAATTGTGTATTGCTCTGATACAACTATATTTTAATGAAATCTACGAAGAAATATCATTTATATTTATAGAAAAATTTGATTAATTTTTTTTTAGTAAATAACATATTTTTTTATAGTAATTTGCAATATGCTTTTTTATTTTAAATGTTATATTCATATTTATAAAAAAAAATATCATCAAATAATGGAAATCATAAGCTGATTACTTCCATTACAAAGAGATAAAAAAATATCAAAAAAATAGAAGGATATGCGTTTCTTAATTCCGAGACTAAAAAATTTTTGATATATTCAATTCAATTCTACATATACGTGTATATCTTTGACAATGTATGCATTAATACGATATGATAATTTATCTATTGTTTTTATAAATACATCGCGATGTTAAAAAAAAAAATATAT